ACCTCCTGGGGTAAGACATACCACATCATGTGCAGAAGAGGGGCAGTCTGGCATTTCTGACATCCCAACATGAAACGTGGATGCAGCCAAGGATGTCCTTGCTGGGATGGCCTTCAGATACAACCTAACACAGCAGCAGTAGTGTAACAACTAAAAAGCTGTCCTCCAGGCTGTCTTTATCTCCCAAAACAAGAATACTTTGGATTGTATATAGTAAACAGCAAGCCAGTTTTTAATGTTACAGTTAATGCTTCAAGTACCTTCCTCAGAGCCATTTCCAGTGCACATGTATTGAGCAATTTCATCAGTACAAATATGGTTTGTAATAGCACAAGAACTGCCTTATGGGCCCACACAATCATTGTGTTCTTGTGAGGGCTGTGAGCATGCACGGCGTGACACAGCACCTGATGGAAGACAATGCGGTAAGCATCCAAAATACCTCCACTCTGTTCTGATGAGTCTGCTGGTACCTCTGTGACTTCACCTCCGAGTTTTACAGCACTCTTCACCTATTGCTGTGCATAGTAGAATCCCTGTAAGAACTTAAGTTTTCCTCCTTGTGTAACTTTTTAATAGCAACCCAGGAGGTGAGGCATGCCATAGCACACAAATAGAGCAGGGCTCATCTTAGAACTGGGTAGCTGGGAAAAGAATGCAGAGCCAAAAAATGCTATTTTGTGTGCTATTTTGAACGAAACATTTAGGTGCTTAATTCACATGGCTTGATTCTCCTTTTAGGAAGCAGCTTTATTTGAGGGCAAGAATAGATGGTGATGGCCATGGGAGCCATGTCATAGAAGCGCCTTCAAAGAGCAACTTGAGAGATGGACAGGACAATTACTTATAATGCCTCTTAAACATGGCATATCCCGTGCTAGTGGTCCTGGCCCATTTACTTTGCGTTTTTTCCTTTCCTGCTCTTTCTTGCCTTTAGTGGGTGAGATTGTTACAAACTAAGCAATCAAAGCTGAGTCCTTTTCCAGTTAAGCTTCAAAAAACCCTCAAAACCATTTACCCTGAAAGCTTAGATGTTTTAACTGGATGCATAGAATGTGGTCATCTAAAAAACCCCAGACCCATGGAATATTCCTGGCATGTGGCAATTAGCAGAGCAGATGACCAAGAAGGTGTAAAATAGTATACAAAAGGGATAACATTTTACAACAATACATATATATTGAAATATATAATTTATATTAGATTTTAAAATGTAAACTAATTTAAATTGCAGCAAGGCTATTAAAATGGTTTATTTTACAGACAATACCGATATCCTCCACAGTAAATGAATGCAGAAGTGCGCAGTGAATGATACCTTTTGCTACTGGTGCTGTGCAGTTTTGCCATTACTATAATCTTTATTAACCTATAGCATGTGGAAAAAACTTCATTGAGATAAAAATTAGGGTTTTTTTCCTGCCTCTTTGCCTAAGTCCAATTTTAGATTAAAACAGCAGGATGTGAAACCCAGAGTGAAAGTTTCTACTTACAGATCTGTCTCTTTTTTTTTCTGTGAGCACGTCTTCATCTTTTATATACTGAGAAATAAGTGAACTTCTTTATTAAAAAATCCCAAAGCAATATAAAAAATAAAATACTTTCTCCTATCTCTTTCTTCCCATATCAGCTTTTCATGGCTCATAGGATACAGTGATCTTGTTTGAGATGGGTTTTGAAGAACTTAGGTACAGAGCTATTATTGGCAATACAAAAAAAAAGCTGAATTACCTGCCAGAGTGGGTGGAAATCATCGGTTTCAAAACCTGATCATAGAATTACACGTGTCCTTGGGGAATATCCTGAAGTGTCACACTTTGAATTTAAACAGAAATAGAAAATGACATCAGGTTCCTAATGCACGAACAAGTTCTCTCTCAGTAGGACTTGTTGAAGTATCTTGATGTGTCTTAAACCTTCACCGCTTATTCTTTCTTCAATCACATTCTTACTGATTCTTTTAAAGATCTATAGTGAATGGAATGCTGTCAAGAGATAAGTAGTCTAATGTATTCTGTAAAGCTCCAGAAGAGTTTCTTTCAAGAGACTCTTTGTTGCAAATGAAATATTCTCCAGCATGATTTGAAGGGTGACTTAAAAACAGAGATGGCATTAGGCGCTACTGTCAATTCAAAGCTTCATCACAGGCTTCATCTGTAACCAGATGAGTGAATTTGGGAATAGCGTAAAGAGAAAATCTCCATTCCTCACAGTTCAGGCATCACTGTGTATAGGATCTGTTTCAATGAGTGTGCCTTCAGTGCTACAAAAGATCCTGAGCAGGACTGAAGTTACATTTTATATATTTGATGTTGGCCCTTCCCCTGGGTACAAATGCCACCCTGAACGAACAGCAATTCAAATCACAGATGTATGAAACCTCTCACATCTTGCTTGCGATTATGCAGGTGAATCTTGCAAATACTAGAAAGGTGCATATTTAAGGTGGGCTTTCAGTTTATGAGTGAGATATCACTGATGCGGGCACTAGAGAAGAGTGGAACACTGATACATCAAGTGTCTAATAGGAAAATAAAGTTGTTCAAACTTTGAAAACCCTGAGTAGCCAGAGGTCTGTGACAATTGCAGTGAAAACAGGAAGAGAACAAAGAGTACCTTCAACCATGATTCAAGTAGCTACAATAACTTCAGCAACCTGGCTTGACAAGTAGCTGTGAAGATCTGAGTGAGCTTGTACTTGTCAGCTGCTCTGCAGTTTTGTCTTGTTTACTAATGATGCACTGTGGACTGCATTTGAAAGACACTTCAGAAGTGACTGAGGTGGATGCCTTATGACAGATTCCACCAAAGCTTGAATAATTTACCGGTTTAGCATATGCCAAGCCAGTGCTGTTACTTCTTGTTCTTAATGTGGAAATGAGTCATCTCGCTTTGCTTAGGCAATGTAGAAAGGGGATGCTGAAAATGAGAGATCAGAGACAGCAGCCTCGAACTCTGAAGCATCAAAATAGTATGAAGGACGTTTAACAAAATATCCTAGATTAAATGACTGACTGGCATTCTTAGTATTTACAATTAAATCTGTCATATATTTCTATGAAGTGGCTTAATAGCAGCCACAAAAAGCAAGCTTCTCTTGCATCTCTCCAAGCACCATGGCTCTGAAAACCTTGCAGTTGCTTCCAAGAGTTTTGCTCCCATAGAGGATTTGGGGGTTTTTGGTCATAAAATATTTGGAACAAAAAAATTCATGGAAGAAGTAAAATTTGACCCAAGTTTAACCAGCCTTCTGTAGGTAAAGAGCATACTGATCATATATATATTAATTGTTGAAGATTATCTTAACAGTAATATCATTATTTTAAATATAAATTATGAAAATTCATATCTATAGGTGATTAGTATGTGAATAACGTGTGTATAGATTTACATAAATTTACACGTATGTACATACATAATATTTACATATAGCTTGTATATGCTTATATATGCATCTGAGCAAATGTTGAGCTCATCATTAAGCATGCATCATTAAGCACATCCATGGGCCTAACCTTATCAAACAAGTAAGTATGAGACAATATGAACATGATGTCATGACAATGACATCAGAAATTACTTGTGTTTACACAAGTATTAATAGAATGGCTCAAGGACCCTGTAAAGTGAACCCCATAAATTGGATGCAGCCCAAACCATCCTTGTAACCTTGCCCATAATTTGCTACTAGTGAGAAAAACTTGAGGGTCCAAATTACGTTGATTACCAAAGAGGAGTGAAAGTGTCAAAGTGGCTTTAATAGAAATGAGACCTGGATCTTTGAAGTATCATTTATGACACTTTCTGAGGGAGAAAGCAGAAATTGATGGGAGGCACTCAAATCAAATCCCAAATATAGGAGAAAAAAGAAAAAAATCAGTCAAGGGGCAGCATGTAGCCTTGTGTTGTACAAACTACTCTTTTTGGGAGGGTTCCCAAGCAAAATACAGTCATTATGAGAAAGTAGTAATGCTCAGCCAACCTAGCAGTGCCAGATCTAATTCCCTATTCATTTCCCCTGATAAAAGGAAAAAACAACAACAAAACCCCAAAGATTTTAAAATAACTCTTTACCATTGTATTTTCAGTGTTTCAGCTATTGATTCCTGCATCCTTTTGTGGACCCTATTCTTATTATACGAGTCTACTAAGAATCAGTGAGGCAGAGGAATGTTTATGTCTCTGCTGTGAGAGGCCCTTGCACACTATCCCACGATCAGTCAGTACACCTTGTGCGTTATCCCTCACATATGGCCCACAAGGGAAATGAGAGCCCATTCTGTGGTTTCCTTTTTAATAAGTGGTACAAAGTAAAGAGGGATAGAAGAACAGCCAGCTGTGCTCTGATCTGGTGGGAAGCCTATGCTCACAGCGGTCCAAATTGTCAGCTGTCTGAAATATTTTAGTACCAATCAGGCAATCTCTTTATAGGAAAGTCTTAAGAAAGTGAAAGATTCCAAAGGGCAGGAAAAATCACCTATGCAACAAGACACAAAAAAGAAACTGCTTGTAGGGCAGTGGAAAACATCGTTTGTAGGGCATGGAAGACTCAGTAACATCTCCAGCTTTTATACTATATAGGAGAGAAGAATTATGAGCTTTTTTTTACCTAGGTTTATAGAGAGAAAAGGTTTTACAAACTTGAAACCCAAGGGAGTTTACCAATGAAGAATGCAAAACATGGCCAGAAAAACGGGCAGCAGAACCACACAGCAATGGTGCAGGCCAGTTTTTTAAAGCATTCTTAGTAAGCTCCAGAAGCAGTGACATTTCCACACACGTCTTCTTGAAGATGATGCAGCTCTTGCTCTAGCGGGATGTCACAGCTTTGCTCAGTCTCAGCAATACCATGCAGGTCTGCAGCCCAGATCCCCACCTGGGATAGCTCCATGCAGCTATGCCCAAGTCATCAGTTTACCCTGTCCTCCTTTCACCCAGTGTTTGGATTGCTGGTTTTTGATTTATGACTGTATGTTTTTACTTGGCTGTTTTCCCCCCAGTGTGGAGTCTCTGCTGACTATGTGAGCTGGCTGCTACAAACCTGGACTGCAGCTAGGAGGAGGGCTGGACATATAATTCCCTGCTGTTTTTTTCTTAGTCTTTCACAAGATGTCTCAGATGAAACAGGAAAGAAACTGGAAACCTCAAATGCCACAGTGTGGTTCAGATTATGTTATCTATTCACTGTGAAAACCCTGCTTCTGCATGGGCTCATAATCACAAGTGAGCCAGTGTTCATACATGTATTATTAATGCAACTGTGGATTTAAGTACTATCGATAGTGTGGGGGGACGCAGTAATAGGGGTGACTTTCATGCAAATGGTGTGAAAAGCACAGCTTCTTAGACATATAAACCAATCAGAAAATACCACTGCACATATTTCATCATTACAAACACTAATATTCATCATCTCTGTCATTATGCAACAGGCCTTTAGTAGTAGACCCAATGGCACAAATAAGGTGGAACTAATGCCTGTTGTATACAAAATGCAGCTTCAAGTACAGGTAGCCTAGGCTAGACTCCTACTCACATTGCTCTGAAAGTAACAGTCTGGAATGAAAGCTCTTGAAAAAAACCCTGAAATCAATGCTTTTCAACTCGCTGGGAGTTGCTTAAAATGCATGTGTTAGTTCTGGTCTAAAAGATTTAGGGAGTTGCTTCTGATGGGAAAAATAGCGTACAGAAAACCCAAAATGCCTTAATTCTTTCATGTAGACAACTGTCAAGGTTCAGGCATGAGAGCAAGTTTTATTGCTTTGATCTTCAGTTCAGTAAGGGCAGAAATGCCATTCAGCTGCCATCTGAATTGCTAAACTTTGGTTTGATTTCCAAGTCATCCCTAAATCCAGTCCAAATTGTCCTCTGGATTTTATCACTCTCACTGAACAAATCATTTAGAAGTCTACTGTTGATAGGTTTCCAACACTCTCCTATTCAAAGCATTTGACTTCAGTGCATCCCAGGACAGGAATGGCGTAGAACCTGACCTTGAGAGGATTCAAAGGCATGCATTTCTTTTTTTTTTATTAATGAGAGATTATTGCTGCCAGCATTTCTGAGGTTGCATTCAGAGCAATCTATGTTGATAGCCCACTTAAAAATACAAAACACGTAGTTCCAAAACATCCACTGTTGCCCTACAAAGTCATTTGTTGTTTTACGTATTTTATGCATAGATGATAGTACATTTACTTGGTTACATTTTTTACGTAACCAGCTCCCTTCTGTAAAGAATAAGCTTTCAGGCATTCAAAGATTCTGTTTTCAAGAGGGTCAGGAGCCTTTCTGGTGTTCTAAATTTTCAGTAAATGAGATATTTGGTAAAGTAAGATCTCTGCTTTGTTTCTATACTTGTTGACAGCCTTGTGTCACAAGCTTTGCAAGAGATCTACCCCCACCATCAGATGATAAACTGATTCCTCAAGGACTTAGTGCCTCACTAGGGAATGCTTGGAACTGGCCTTCTCTTCCTTTTGGAGTTTCTATCACAAGCTTTTGTCTGTGTTTGGTTTGTCATTTCTGACTGCTTTCCTATGTGATATGTATCAACAGACATAGCAGGAAAGTTATTTACAGCCAACAAATTGTCTTCAGCTTTATGATTCCAGTTGTATAAAGTATATGTACTCTGACTTACACGTTTAGGAATGTTTTAATTGTAGGTAAAATACTTCCGAAGACCACAGTAGTTCTGAATGGGTTTGCTATAGCATGTTAAGAGTGAGGGTGAACATGTGAATTCTTCTTCACATTCCCACAAGACCGACAGCTGAAATGAGGAGGGGTGTATTTAAACACCACCGTACAGAACTGTTGGTATGTGTGGGAGTGTGCATGCCTCCGTGTGTGTGTGTGTGTTCGTATAAGTTTCTACATTTCGACTCACGCTATTCCTTGTCCTATTGGTAATTTTCATTCTGAGATATTACTGCAGTAGTGCCTCAGCATTAATGAAGGCTGTCAAACGTCCCCTTCTAGGCGCAAGAAAAGACGTCACTCTCCTGGTTTCGTATAACATCCATTAGTAGTATCTCTGCAGTAATATTTTACTAGGTGGCAATATTTCCTACCCTTGGCAATACCAAGAACTCTGCATCCTTTATGCCACCTTAGCTGCTAGTTATATCCTGCTTGCCAGACAAGTTAATTTAGCTCTCTTATTCCCATTATTTTTCTTCTTACCTGCTTTTAATTCTTTTGCTGTTTCAAAGACTGTTATCTTCCTTCTTTCTTAAATGATGGCTGCACCAGTGATTCATGTGCACGTGGCTTGCTGGTTTGACTGCAGGGTTTGGTTAGCTTGACTACTACATACATATAACCTAGTCAACCCGAGGACTGAGTACATTTGAAGGACAGATTTCATTATACATTCCTTCCATCCCATTATCTTATCACTTTATCTTTGGGGTTTTTTTGCAGAACTTAACAATTTTTAGAGAGAACTTAATGATGGGATGAACTATGTCAGACAGATGGCTTCAAATTACAATTATTAGAAATCCAGCTTAACAATCTGCACTTTAATAATTCATCACTGAAGAGCCCTTATTTTAAGCTTCTCTTAGAACTGCTATTTCTCTGACGTGCACGTAACTTGGGAGAGGACTGACAAATTCAGTGATTTTTTACCTAATGTTTTCCCCTCTTATTGAGGCACAGGGCTGTCTGTCTATCCAGTGTCTCACAGCTGCAGAAATCTTTATATGGCACTGATCAAGATGCCTGAAATAGTTGAATTAGAGTAATTCAAACAGTTCCTAAGAACAGCAGATATTACTCGCAGTGCACACATGCCTGCGCACACATCTTTTCTTTTTCATAAAACTACTTAGTTTGTATTGCAAAGAAACAGAAGTGTTTGTCTTCAGAGGTTATAAAATTCATTGGGAACAGAGTGGAGTCAATAGATATAATTTACACCTGCCAAGGACCTGGCTTCATCTTGGGTATCTTGGCTGAGTTTGAAAACTGCATGTTTTCTAGAAAGATCAAAACCAATAGAAAGGCTTCAGCAGTGGGAAGCCACTGGAGACCACAGAAACCCAAGCTTGTCTCTCCACTTCCACACAGCTGTGTTGCTCAGGTGGTAGAGCCCAGCCTGTGACTGCACCCTTCAAATGCTGCTGTGGGATTGCTGGGATTGCAGTTGCTGCTCTCCCACAGCACCAGTCACACCTTTGCTCTGCTGTCTGCCAATGGTCCTCCGGTTGTTTGTGAGTATGTGTGTATATACCCGCAGTAATATATAATAAGCAATAATACCCACATGCATATATATCTGTACCAGTAGTCTTGTCTTCCAGCTTGGCCTCTAAGTAGGCAGAAGCAGTGGAAATGGATGGAGTTTAGGTTAATTAACAGTGAGTCACTAGTAATTGTACAGGCTTTAGAGACTGCTTGAAGATGAGCTTCTGGTTCATGAGTACCACTTACTGAATGCTTTTTAGCCATTTGTCTTTCTTACTGAATCTTAGTAAATGAAGTAATTCTGGTTTTGAAAAGAACAGATGTGATCCATCTTAGGGAAATTATCAAGATCCCAAGAAAGCTGAAAATTACTGGGAGTGCCTGGGAGTGTGTGCTTGCCCATGGATGCTCTGCAGTTCCCAATACCCAGACAGTGAAGGAATAAACACAGGAACTCTCTTCTTACTATAGTAAATTGAAAGGAGGGGTCTTGTCCTGTGCTTTGGAGATTAGCAACCCCCAAAAGGGACCGACAAGCCAGAATCTAATGCAGGGGCAGGCAGAAATGCAAAATGGTTAAATGGTTTGGTCACCCTTTATTTTTCATAGCTTTTACATTAGTATTGTTAGGTACGCCCTTTCCACAGAGCTCCCTTTGCTCCTTTATGCATGTTTACTTTTAAGGTGCAGTTTCCTGACTTTCCAAAATGCATAATTAGTTTCTAAAAGAGGAAACAGAACCCTGTTTGTTTATCACAGGGGCTAGAACAAGCTCCCAGAGTCATTCTTGGATAAATAAATACAGAAGCTAAGTGCAGTTAGGAAGGGAAAAAGACTGAGTATTTATCTTCTTACCTGAGAGGCTGATCATTGTCAAACTTCTGTGCTTTCTTGCACAGCTCTGCAGGCATACATTTGTACAGAAGAACAGTCATATAGCTCCCTTACAGCTACTTTAATGTGTACTACCAATAATATACGTCATGATGTTTCCATCCCTTGGAAAACCTGCAAGCAAGGGTAAATTTAACTGTGAGACTCCAAGATTTTCATTTCACACCAGGTTAATGACACAGGAAGTGAGCTGGAGAGCTCAAGGACTCAGTGAGACAAGTGTTCCCAGCATCCCCAATGAAATCTATGGCATCGCCCCTTTCTCCTTAGGGTACTTTTTATGTAATAGGCAAGTATTTGCTTACACATTTAATGGTGTTTACAGTGGGGTTTTCTTTTGATTCACCTGAACAAATGTGTCAGGATACCTGTATATAGATCAGTCTACTTGTAAACTCTTCATGCTAGTCTCCATTTGCAAAAAAAAGTAGTCAGTGCTAGGCTAGTCAACTGAACTGTCTTAGACATCTTCCTCAATATGAGATGAATCATACTCTACAAATAACAATTCCACTGAGTTTAAAACTCAATTTTTAAAACTCCTGTCATTAGAAAATATATATATAAAACCATAAATAATTGGGAACTTTTAGAATTGTAGAATATCTCAAGTTGGAAGAGATCCATAAGGATCATCGAGTCAAACTGTTTATCTTAAACTAAACCTTATGACTAAGAGCAGTGTCCAGATGCTCCTTGAATTCGGACAGGCTTGGTGCCATGACCACCTATGTGGGGAGCCTGTTCCAGTGACCAGCCACCCTCTCAGGGAAGAACCTCATGTCCCATCTGAACTTCCCATTCCCTCATGTACTGTCCTGGCCACTGGAGAGAGGAGATCAGCATTTCCCCATCCACTGCCCCCCTTGAGGAAGCTGTAGACTGCAGTGAGGCCACCCCTCAGCGTTCTCTTCTCCGAGCTGAACAAGCCAAGTGGCCTCAGCTGCTCCTCAGAATTCCTGCCCTTGAAGCCTTTCACCATCTCTGTCACCCTTCTCTGGATACACTTTAATAGTTTGATGTCCTTCTTATACTGAGGCACCCAAAACTGCACAGGGTACTTGTGGTGGGGATGCACCAGTGCAGTGTAGAGTGGGACTGTCACCTCCCTTGGCTGCCTGTCTATGCTGCTCTTGATGCACGGTTGGCTCTTTTGGGAGCCAGTCTTTTCATGCTTCCTTTTTCTTGCTTTCATATTTTGTCCTTGTTGATGGTAAAAGGTAGACATAAAAGGGGAGAGAATGTTAAAATCTTCTGAGCTATACTTAAAGATTACTTGCCACTCTTAGTTTTTAAGGTTTCTGTATTACCATTTACTTTTTATTCTTCCAATTTATTTGGAAGAGCTGAGGTAGGAAGGGACCTCTGAAGGTTGTCTTGTGCAACATCCTTGCTCGAGCAGGGTCATCTAGAATAGGTTGCCCTGGACCATATCCAGTCCAAGATGGAAACTCTGAAAACACTCTGACAATTGCCTGTTCACTGCATACCAGGGAGGAGACCCTGGCTCTGTCTTCATTACTGGCCCCGTCAGGCATGGGTAAGATCCCTCCTAGTCTTCTCCAGGTTGGACAGTCCCAGCTCTCTCAGCCTCTCCTCATGACAGGTGCTCCAGTCCCTTGATAGTGGCCCAGTTTTTGCTGGGAAGTCGAGGGCCAGCTTTGGCCATCAGCGGCTCTCCTCACATGCCTGCAGTGTAAACTCTTGTCAGTGTTGGAAATGTGATGCCAGACAGCTTTGTACATGTGAGCACCCCTTCGGAGTCACTTAGAGAACAGACAAAGCAATACTGGCTTGTTCAAGTACTAGCTGATTTCAGAATGGTTACATGCATAATGACATCTTTAAATGAAGTGACATACTTTAATGCTGCCACTTTAGTCACTTTTATTTGTCTCAGAAGCTGCTGTGAAGCTGAAGGGAGGGTAAATACTCCTCCATTAAATACTACATTTCTTCCTTGATTGGAAGCTTGAAGGCACCATTTTTCCTCACAAACTAGAGCTAGTCTCTGCACTGGTTCACAGTAGTCTGCCTCAGAGCAGGAGATAAAAGAAGCTGAGCAAGAGTTCAGCACTGTGGTGGCTTTCCCTATACAATACCAAGCTTCCCTATAAATTAGTGTCATAAGGTGACTCAGCTTCTGCTCCACACCAGGATCTCTTTGTAGCGTTGAAGTCAGAGGTGAGACTGTCTTTCAGGTTAGCACAGTGAGCAAAGAAAGCATGGTCACATCAGTCCTAGGTCCTAGCTGAAGAGCTAGGTCCACAACCTCACTAGCCCATGAAGTTGAGGCTGTGTCTGGGCTGACAGGATTTCAGGGTAAGCGTTTGTGATCTTGTTGCACACACAAAGTTACCAAGACTGCAGCTGAACTGTTCTGCCAGTTTGGGAAAGATTTCCTATTTTCAGTTACATAGATTGCAGTTAATGAGGCACTGTGATGAAAACATCATAACTGACAGTAATGATTACAGACCGAGTGCTTTTCCTAAAATAGGTGCGCTAAAGTCAAGAGCTAGCAAGTGTTTGCAATCTCAAGCATCTAACTCGCTGACAAAGAGCAAAGCAGTTGCTCTTTCTAGTGCAGTAGTTTCTAGTGGCTTTCCTTTTGTCTGAATTCCAACCCATAGTCCCCAAAAAGCTTAACTTGGAAAACTTTCTAACCCTGCACTGATTCATTCAAGGCATTGACTGTATGGTCAAAAAGCAACGGTGAAGTGATTAATTAGAATGTGTTTAGTTCATTGATTTGTTATTCTGTGATGTGCTGGCTTCTGAAGCTAATGAAGGAAACTGGCCTTGTAACTCCTTATGTCAGAAAAGAAAATGTGGAAAAGATACTTTGGTTTCAAAGGGGTTTCTTGCTAATCAAGATGTCCAGAAAAAGTCCATGTTTTTTGCACTATAGCCTAACCATTTACACATCAAGTCCTTCATCTTAAAACTTGTTGACATTTTAAAACAGTAATTATATTGAGTTATTTTTTTTAATACCTGAACCCTTAGGATACCCTTGAGTTTAAATTTGAATTTTGACGATGAAGATTAAAAGAAAAGTCAGTTTTCAAATAAAAGTCTCTAGCATCTGATTAGCGTGTCATTCTGGGCATTAGGAAGATTCCTGTATCATTGAGGAAGATGTCTTCCCTTGGGGAGAGGACACTGGTTTCTGGGGAGCCTACACCTGTGTGATACCATATTTGACAGGAAGGCTCAAACATGCAATTCAGCTAGCATGAAATGACACTGAGAAGCAAATGACTGAACACTGAGATGGGGTTAGCTAGTGGGAAAAGTCAGGTCTCAGGCCAGACAGAAGAGAAAAGCCAGAGAGGTAACACAAAGCTGTAGAACTACAAGGAAAGGAGAGATGCTGAAAAACCACTTGGTGCCTCCCAAAGAGACAGTTATGTCCTGCATTACCACCTGGCTTGCCATTGGCACAGGATTCTGTTTGAGAGAAAAACACTTTGCTTCTAGGCTTCAGACTGTAAGTCAAATAAAGATAAGTGTAAAATACATATTATTCCACAGCAACATAATCAGGAACATAACTGTCTGACACTGCCACTGAACCAGGTTCCTGAGGTATGAAATACTAGAATAGAAACAGGCTTGATGGGGGACACACAGCTAAACAGAAGAAACCACGCAGATGGAAATGCAGCTCCCATGGTGGAGGCTGGCATCCTGTCAATCTACTGCAGGTATGCTTGCTCAATCAAACTGTAAGACTGAAACAGAGTTCACAGGATTTTCTAGCACACAGCCATCCCCTTAGTTGAGTCGGCAGTATCAGAAGTGCCAGGGGGAGGCACAAAGATTTTGGCTGCAAGCAATTTAAGGAATAGCATCAACAGGAAGCCTGCCCTTAATAAGGGTAGGAATGGGTTTACATGCTAAGCAGTTGCCTTGCCATATTCTTTTCACACAGCATAAAGAAGGTTGACTTTTAGATTTATAAATGCCTATTTCTTTTGTCATTTCAATTGTCTGCGGTGTCAATGGTAACTAAAACTGGGGAATGCATTGGGGTATTAACTTCTAAAACCTTTTTGTCAGTCGCAGTTGTACTTTTTGAGTAAGGCTGCTTGCTTTTCAGTCATTCGGGGTGCACCTGTGCTCTCCTACTTTGAAAATGATTTACAACAAAATAAGGGAAGTTGCCTAAAATGCACGCATTAATTCCTATACTCTGTTATTTATCTTTAAATGCAGACATTAAAGGGAAAAAGCTTTGTACAATCTGCTAAAGTCATAGTTGTGTGGCTTTTTTAACCTGCCACGGCAGGATACTTGTGTGCCCACAAAGTTGTTCACTTCTACTGGTGGCATTAAGTGCAGATATTACTGTTCCCCCTAACTGCAAATTTTGGATGCAAACTTATATGTGAAGTCAGGCCACATCTTGAGGTATGTGACAGCTCAGTGGCAGTGTCAGGTGCAAGGAGAGATGTTCTAACAGCACTTTCCTTAGTCTGCTCAAAACCCAATTACACACTCAGAATGCTGGACTGAAAACATGCTTTAAAACACATACAGGTGTTTTCATAAAATAAGGTGAGTTAGCTAAAAGCCGCAGTAAATGTCTCCCGTTCCGTTAGCCAGCCACACTCCTCACAGTCTCTCATTCAGTTCAGAGACCTTGTTGCTGTTTTCACCCTGGTTTGCACATTAGCAGCAGTCTGCTTATTTGCATAGTTTCCCTACTCTTTCATTGTGCATTTCTGTGGGCTCTTAATGCATTATGACTGGCATTTTTCCCACACTTCCTCTTGTCTGTCTTACACCTTGAGTGATGAAAGGGTGAGAGATACATGAAAGTTGTCAGAGCATCAGTAAATTGGGATCTGTAATAGCAAGGTGGTTAAATATTCAACATAAGCAGTTGCTGCAGCACCTGAAAAGCCTGAGCAATACCAGCATAAGTCAATTGTTTCATCACTCCTCAAGATTGCTTTCAGGTGTGCAAAATATCTTTGTGATTTAGTTAGAGTGCAGGGCACTTCTACTCACCTGTTAGCACATGGGGCCAAAGATTGGTAAAGTCTTGACTGGGCTCTTAGCAGAATTCTAAGCACTGTTTGTATTTGTTTGTATTTTAGGGCCAAACTTTTGCCTGTTGCTACAGCAGAAAGGAACAAAGACAACAACAAGGTAAGAAATGGGACTTGGGGAGGTAAGTGAACAGGGTGAGAATGGGCATGCTTTTAGCTACTTCCCCTTACGTACCAGCAGGTAGTGAACCAAGCAGATTTGGCACAGTTGAGCTCTCTACCTTTCTGCCTCCTCCCAGGGCAGGGTGGAGCCCTGGGAAAGACTGATTCTCTGGGGCTGCTTCTTGCTGCTGCACTCTCTTGGCAAAGCCATGGTCAAATCGTCTTTCTTGCAGCAGGTTCATGAGTCTTTCTTGTTGTGTCCACTGGGTACAAAAAAATATATAGTCTTTTAACAATTTTTCATACACTTGAAGAATGGTAATACTGATTTTTCTCATATTTCCCTTTCCCTGACCTTTTATCCTTTAATCTGTATTCAGCCTTCTAGAATCATAGAATGGATTGGGGTTGGAAGGGACCTTCAAATGTCATTTAATTCCAGCCCTCCTGCAATGAATAGAGACATCTTCAACTAGATCAGGTTGCTCGGAGCCACATCCAGCCTGGCCTTGAATGACTCTAGGGATGGTGCAGCCACCACCTCTCTGAGCAACTTGTGCCAGTATTTCACCATTGTAAAGAATTTCTTCCTCACGTCCAGCCTGAATCTCCCCTCTTTTACTTTAAAACCATCACCCCTCGTCCTATTACAACAGCCCTATCTTTCTTACAGCCCCCCTTTCAGAGCTGAAAGGTTACAGTAAGGTTTCCCTGGAGTCTTGACTTCTCCTTCATTTAGCCTTTCTGTGTGATTGTTGGTTTTCAAGCCTTTAATCTTTCTCACTCATCTGTAGACTTTCTCAAATCAGTCCACACCTTTCTTGAAGTACAATGTCAAAAAACGTGATGCAGTGTCCCAGTTAGTATCTTGCCATTGAACGTCAGAGTTGTTATTTGGCATGTCTTATTTATATCCCATCCAAGTATCACTGGCGGAAATAATTTCATCTGACTTTGTGCTCTAGCTGTGTACACCTGACCTGAGTGTCCTTAAATTCTTTTTAAGTGCATGTCCTGATTTTAGGGTGTGACTGAGTATTTTACCTATATCCTTTAGGGGAGTTGAACTGCACCTCAGAAGGGCCTGTTTATATTGGTTCATCATAAAGAGATCATAGGCTGATCGGGTAAAATGTAGGCACTCACCTACAATGCACGTGACCACTTTTGGTCAGATAAATAGCATCCTTCATCTACCAGCTGTTTTGTACTTCTGGGTGCTGGAGAACATAGGACTGGAAACAATTACTTGGATCATTGAGTTCTGTACCCTGCAGTCATGGACTACCAGGCTATATGTATTTCTAATTCAGAAGCAACTTCACACGCTGTGGTATGCTGCAAGTCACAGAACTCTTCCAAATACTCATTCAGTGCTTAGTAAAAGACTCAGCTATCATGTGCCTGAGGAAAAGAAAAAGGATGATGCACCCTGTGTTTTTGGGAGAGCACATTGATGAAACTACCCTGAATGTTCCTTAAGAAGCAGATCAGGCCAACCACTACACGAGAGGGTCAGTGTTTGCTACCAAACTGACAAGCAGTTGAAATTCTTTGCCAACCTCAAATCTTGTAGTTGTTTTAGTCTCTCATATGGATGAACACCACACAAATAAATCAGGGTGAGGTAGTCCCTGCACCCTGAGACTAAAAATTAGACCAGCACATCAAAAATCCCCACTCTTCCTGGTCTGTTACTACATTTGTCCCCTCCTGAAACCCTGCACCACACACACAGGCACATTCATAACAGGTAAGTACAGCCCTTCTGTGTGGTTGTCCTTTGTGTTATCTACTGTCATTATAACAGAGGAATGTAAAGCCTGGAGACTGCAGGTTATTTGGAGTAGCTCAGTCAATAAAGAGGTGCAGTCCTGTGTTTATTCAGTTTTTTAGGTCAAAAAAAGTTCTTTTAGGGTTTTTTCTCTGAACACATCAAAGAATTCCTTATACTTTTTGCAGTATAAGAAATGAATACTTTATTGCCTGCAGTGAATTACAGGTTAATACTAAATACAAAATGCTAACGAAGGAGCAATGTATTAGCATTTTTAGATGAAAATATGACATTTTATATACCCTTAAGTAAAAATATGTTTGCTCCCTGGAGCTACCCTGACCAATTTAATTTCCCACATCAGTACACATCATGAAGTCAAACTTCCCTACTCTTTCGGTCTATGCATAACATTCAGACTACCAGATCCATTTTTCTTCTTACACATTTTCAGTATATTGCTTTCTTTAGACCTCTTTTTAATGGATATCCACATAGTTGTGATTACTGGTCTCACTCAATTTGGTTTCTGTATTTCACCAAAACAGAACCATACACCCAGTTCTGCAGTGGTAGGAGAAGGTGAAAGCTATAATGGTAGAGGCTACACAAAAGTGGTGGGGAGGTGCAACCTTTAGGTAAAGCTGAATGGATTCCCATTCTTCAGGACCCAAAGCCAACAAAGCCCAATAGCAGGTAAAGTTTTGGGTTGAGTTAAAAATACCAAACCATTGCTAATCCGGGGATATCCAAGCCACGCTGCTTGTAGCCAACGAGGGAACCGAACTTAGAGGTGTGACAGCTAAACACTGACTGCAGAAAAGTGGCTTTCCCACCTTTAAGTGAAGATCAGATCACTTAGTTTAGGATAACAGGTCCCAGGGTTTGAAACTTTGTGCATGTCACTTGTAAGAATAATCTAAGCTTGGTTCAGCTGAACCTGCAGGGCTTTGGCTTTATATATCTAGGGATGTCAGAATGCCTTGTCCACACCTTGCCTCAACACTATTTAGAAAGCAGTATGGGGTGTGGTTTTCACCCACATTATGAACTCGGACAGCGTCTCTCCTCCCAAAAATAAAACTTTACATCAGGTTTACCTGATCTTTCTGTTGAGCATAATTATTAGAAAGCAGAAGTTGTAAACGGGCCAAAAATATTTGTCTGTCAGAAATGCTGATGAGATCGTCATCGTCATAAAGCACTTCTCAAATTGCCACACAATTAAAGGTAATTTCACATTGCTGCTACAATGAATACCTGAGGAAAACTGGAAATGGTACGCTCAGAGTCCTTAACAGCATGTGCCAGGCTTTCAATGTAATTTGGCCCAAGTATATTTTTCACTAACACTTACAAGTTCACTCTTACGAAAATTTGGCTTGGCTTTCTATCTTAACACATTCTTTTATTCCTAAGCCATACATTACTAAGTAACTTTTGTGACTACAAGCATTAAAATCTCCATTCTAGAAAACAGATAGGAGACATTTAAAACAGTGACATGTTTCCACTTCAAATACAGAGAGAAAAACAGGAATAAATCAATCAATCAGAGGTGTATGGTGGTGGGGGAGAGCATCAGAGCAAGAAAATCTTTGAGAGATGAGGCATACAAAACTGGCCAGCTGCCCAGCTTCCTGATGCTCTCTTAGGTTCTTGCTGAGACTTACTTGAATTCCAAATGGTTTTCTAAGCTGGTGAATAGCAGGTGCTTGCTAACCAGCTCGTAATGAGTAGAGAGGTCCAACTCCATGGAGTCATTTCTCCCTGCTTTTGGCTGCCTTTTGTACTTGCGGAGACAAAGCAATGGACCTGGAAATTGGAAATTTTAATTGAAAGCACACATGCACAAGGCAATTTTGTAGCCCTCTCAACATAGAGAGTTATAAAAGAAAGCAGGATGTTATTAATTTTGTATGCTTTAGGACATATTGTGATCTATTTTGGGATATGTATATTAGATCCGAAAGCAGACTGCATGTAAAAAGTATTAAAATCAAACCTTCCCCACTATTTTACTTACCTGTACAGCTTCTTGTTACGTGCACTTCATTAACACAGTAAATGGAAATGCTTAAGGCAGAAAGCTGAGACAACACTGCAGGATCTTTTTTCTATTCAGTCTCTTCCTAAGGTTTGTTCACAGGACATGAGAAATTAAAGAAATCAAATGATACTTTTTTCTTGCACTTCCCAAACCATATCTTAGATTCATGGGTTTAGCATGTGTTTAAGGACTTTGTAACTTTGTCTTTGTACTGCCAGCTCTGAAAGGTGAGCAGTGCAGAAAATGCGTAGTCTACTGCAGAATTGCCACATACACCCTAAAGTGAGAACATTAACAATGCAACAGAAAGACCAGTGACCCTGAGTGCTCTGTCTGGCAGAGGGGGAGAAAGGTCCGATAACAGCACAAAGGCTGTGCTTAAACTGTAAAACCTGCAAGCATTCTCAGCTCCACAGCTAAGTCAGTGTCCTGACTCTGGAGATCTGCTTCTTCTCCTCCATTAGGGTTTCCATGGGAATGAAATCTAGCATGTGTGCTAGAACCAGCCCACAGCTGACTGGTTCCCCTGTCTGGGACATCAGAAGACCACCTGATCCCCTTAGCAGAGCCACGATTGTCTTATCCACTGCTAGTCAAACATGAAAGAGAAACTAAATAATGCCAACCACTTCGGTAAAACCTTTGTTATTTTATGTTCTGCAAATGGAAAAGAGATGTAATATTGTGCCATTTTAAGTGAACATATCATATACAAATAAACTTAAGTAAATTTATAATGGATGTAAGAGTAACAACACAGCTAATCAAAAGGA